GCTATGTGCAGATATGTATGTTACCTTTGAAAGTTTATGTGTTTTCAGAGCACAGGACCAGACACCAATGAAAACAGGTGGCCCTGGTGATCCAGCCTCTCAGAGTGCCTCTGTTGCAATTTCCTCAGAGTTCTACATTCAGAATAGCTTCAAGGCTGCAGGCTGAGATGGCCCAGCCTCACAAACTATTCTAGCCAGGAATTTATCATTATCCTAATTTTCTCAGGGTCCCCAAAAGATGTCAGTGCCCCAAGAAACAGGAAGCAATTTAAAAGCATAATGCCCTCATTCCCAAGAAGTGGGGTGGGAGGTTTTTGGTTGTTCAATAAATCTTTGTTATCACCTAGGGGGGTTAGGCACAAGTCATTATTGGTTATGGTCAGGGAGGATACTAAGCAAAGAAAATTAGATTCAGGAATTTCATTCTGAAAAGAAAAATGGGATGCAGAAATGATAGGATAAGAAAAAGTGGGAAGTACACTTGAACCCATTGGCACAGGAGACCTCTTCCTAAAAATAACCCCAGTAGCACAGACACTGAGAGAAACAATTAATACATGGGACTTCCTGAAACTGAAACGCTTCTGTAAAATAAAGGACATGGTCAAGAAGACAAAATGACAGCCTACAGAATGGGAAATGATCTTCACTAACCCCAATGGTACAGAGGAATTTTGGGTGACTGTCCAGGCAGCGAGATGTCTCTGTCATTTCTAGAGTTTTAAAAGTTGCTTTTTTCTTGTTTGCTTAGGTAGTATTGTATCTTTCTGGAGTCTTTGATGGAGTTAAGAATAGTTAGTTATAGTTATAGTTTTCCTTAGTTATGATAAAGATTATTGTAACTTTTACTTGATAACTGTTTCGTTATATGTAATTTTGCTATGTTAAAGTTAAAGCCTTTTTTTGTTTGTTTGTTTAAACCGAAAAAGGGGAAATGAAGGAGGAAGGTCATTGGCTAATAAAGGAACTGCCTTGGCCCATTTTATTGGTTAGAAGATAGGTGGGAGGAGTAAACAGAACAGAACGTTGGGAGGAAGAGGAAGTGAGCTCAGACTCGACAGCTCTCCTCTCGGGAGCAGACGCCTCAGAGAGACGCCATGCTCCTGGCTCCTGGGCAGACGCACAGAATCTTCCCGGTAAGCGCACCTAGGGGCGCAACACAGATGATTAGAAATGGGCTAAATTAATATGTGAGAATTAGCCTAGAAGAGGCTAGATCGAAATGGGCCAAGCAGTGATTAAAAGAATACAGTTTCCGTGTAATTATTTTGGGTAAAGCTAGCCGTGGGGGCAGCCTGGTGCTGGGGACACAGCCCCGCCGCCCTTATTACTACAATATGATACATCTGCTCCTGGCAGCACCAATCAAAGAACCTTCATATGTAGTTAGCTTTCTATATGGTAAAATTTAGCTACTAGGCAAATAAACGGCCCTTTCCTCAATTGCTGACAGTATAATATCCAGTAAATAGGGGCGGCGGGGCTGCCCTTTCCTCAATTGCTGACAGTATAATATCCAGATTGAACAAGCAGGACACAAAAGAAAATATCTGCCAAATTTTGTCAAGACAAGGTAGGACAGCCCTTCAAAATTCCTACTTCACAAAAAAGCCTGTCACATCTCCTGGGTCTATAGGCCAAAGATGGATGTTCCAAAGTTGGAGAGAAATCTTGGGTGACTGTCCAGCCAGCTAGCTGCTTGTATAATTTCTATAGGATTGGAAGTTGTTTGCTCTGTACTTCCTGTTTATTCAAGTAATATTTTAATCTTTCTTGGGTTTCTGATGGAGATTGAAGACTAGATAGTTATAGTTTTACAGTTTTCCTTGTAATAAAATTATAGAAAAAAAACTTATATAAGAGATATAAAGTTTATAAGGTTGAGAAACATAAAAGCTTAATTTGTTTATCTAAAAATGTTTTTGAGGTCGGAAAAGATAGTTTTAAGATGGTAATACAAGTTATAAGAGAAAATTGTTTAAGTATAAAACTTTAAATACATTAAAATAAGAGATAATAGAGAATTTTCTCCAAATATTCCAAATACAAATGGACTGGACATTGTAAATATAATTCTTACTTAATTAGTCTTATTACATATAGTTTTATTAGTTAAAGTTAATACCTTTTCCTTCTATTTTGATAATACCTGATAACTCTTCTTATTGCATATAACTTTACTATGTTAAAGTTAAAACCTTCCACTCATATTTAGACAAAAGGGGGAATGTTGTGAAATAATCTTTTTGTAAACTATAAAGATGTGTTACTCTAATTAGTTTAATAATATATTAAATGGCCAATAGTTAGGCAGAATTTTCAGGGCAGAGAGCATGGTGGTAAGAAGAGTGAAGTTGCCTGCCAGACACAGGTCAAGCAGGATGGGCACTACAGAGATGAGGTAATAAAGTCATGGGGCAGAAAGTAAATTAATAAAAATGGCCTAATTTAAGTTATAAGAGCTAGTTAGAAACAAGTCTAAGCTATTGAATGAGCTTTCATAATTAATAAGAAGTTTCCATGTGGTTATTTTGGAGCTTGCAGTTGGGACAGAGAAAGACTGGATACATACTAGAGAGATGCTTGCACATCTATGTCTGCAACACTATTTGCAGCAGGCAAGATAGGCAACCAACCTGCATTGTCTTCAACAGGGGAATGGACAATATGGTGGTGTTGAGTACAGTCTTGTTGAGTAATAATGAAGAATGAAATTATGTCATTTGTAGGAAAAAAAGGAATGGAGGTAACTATCGTCAATACACATGATATACTTAAATCAATGTGATAAAATCCATGACCTTGTACAAAGAGTATGTGCCAGTAAAATTTAAAAATATGATAACAGAAATAAACCTCTCAGAAAGAGTAGCAGATAATTTCCAGAATACAAAGCAGAAAGACAAAAATCTTGGGAAACAGAGAAAGGATAATTATAGAAATAGGCCAGGACTCCAATATCAGTACAATAGTTCAAGGAAAGAAAATAAGGAAAATTATGTGGAAGGAAAAAATGAGTTAATTTAGACTGGAGATTCCAGTTTCAGAGAGATCAGCAAGGGACAGGGGACAGCTCAGTTTTAGAATCTTGCCTAGTACATAAAAGGCCCTAGATTCCACACGTTTACCACAAAAATAAAAAGAAATTATGCCCCAAATACCAAGATAATTAAGAAAATAATGCCAATAAAGAAATTCTAAGTATTAGTTCCATATCATTCTGAGAAAGAGAACTGTGTCTTTTGAAAAGTAACAAAGTGGAGTCATTATTTTTCTAGAAGTCAGAAAAGCATCTTCAAATTTCTGAGAATAATCCTTTCTTAGAATCCTATAAAGCATTAAGGAACAATAAATACACTTGTTCGTACAAGTTCTCAAAAACATGCAAATATATTACCTAACATGTATACTTTCTAAATAAACTATTAGATTTATTCTACCAAATAGGGGGTAAAACAATGAAAATTACATGAGGCTAGAGAGATGACTCAGCAGTTTATATCACTTGTTGATTTTGCATAGGACACAGGTTCTATTCCCAGAATCCGTGAAGTGCCTCCAACCATCCAAACACCAGTTCCAAGGGATCCCTTAGCTTATTCTGACTCCCATAGGTATCAGGTACTACTGAGGGATAATTCTTTTGTACACCGTAAAGATTTGTCACTCATATTGGTTTAATAAAATGCCAGTAGCCAGGCATGACATCTAGGCAGGGCAACCAGACTAGGAAAATTCTGGGAAGAGGAAAATCAGAGAGTCAGTCACCAGACACAGAGCAAGCAAGATGAGAATGCCTTACTGAGAAAGGGTACCAAGCCACGTGGCTAAACATACAAAAAAATTAATGGTCAATTTAAGTTGTGAAATCTAGTTAGTAATGAGCTTGAGCTAAAAGGCCAAATAGCTTATAATTAATACAAGTCTCTCTGTGTTTCTTTGGGACTGAACAGCTGAGAAACAAAAACTTCCACCTATAAATGGCGCCCATGCAAAAATACAGGCAACACATGCATACACATAAAATTAAATAAATCTTTTTATAAAAAGAATTGGCATGTAGACAGTAGGTCAGGCTACTCAAGAGACCAGTAAGAAGTACCTCCAACTGATATGCACCAAGATTCTGAGATGAAAGCAGGTCAGAAATCTCTAGAAGGTATTTCTTTAAGATAAAATTTAAAGATAGTGGGGCTAGAGAGATGGCTCAGTGGTTAAGAGCATTGCCTGCTCTTCCAAAGGTCCTGAGTTCAATTCCTAGCAACCACATGGTGGCTCACAACCATCTGTAATAAGGTCTGGTGCCCTCTTCTGGCCTGCAGGCATATACACAGATAGACTATTGTATACATAACAAATCAAAAAATAAATATTTAAAAAAAATTTAAAGATAGTGTATGAAAATATGAGGAGGACAAATCTCTATGATTCCTAAAATTGAAAGAGGTTGGAGTAGGAAGAAAGCAAAGCATATAGAAAATTAAATGAGAAAAGAAAATGGTAAAACACACACACACACACACACATACACACAAGAGAGAGAAGGAAAAGCAACCATATTTTACTATATGAGTCATCTGCCCAAAGAAATTCCAGTCTTAATAATTGAGTTAAATATAGCCAATTGATCTAACAAAAATATACTGGAAGCTTTGGAGAAAAAGAATTTCATGCGGATATGGTCGTGGGACAAAAAACAGTGAAAGAGACCTAAATCTTCATTTTCTAAAGCAGAAAGGAGAAAGACAAGCATGTTATTTAGAGATAGGGAGGCAAATACCAGAAGAAGCTAAAAGTGGTTGCCTCTGGGGAACACCAAAATATATTTATATGTATAAATGTACGTATGTACTTTGCTTGAGAGCAGAGTTGCTGTTTTATATATAACATATATATATATATACATATATAATTTAGTCAAAGCAGAAAATGAAACTGTTAATGAGAAATATTCCAATATATTTCAAAAAGAATATGTTCAATACTTAAATGATTAATACCTGGAAAAAGGCACATTCTGAATACTTTCTCCAAATTAACTCTGACCTGGGTTTATTCTGACAGTACTTGGCATACATCTGAAAATCATCTTTCTGTAATAAAAAACAAAAGCAAATATATTACTAATTTATAAATATGAATTTTTATTTCAAAAAAGCTGAACAACAGAGTGGGTAGCCAACCATTGTAGTGAATGTGACATAAAATGGCCTGCTTTGTGTTCCACGGACAACAGGATATATAATTCTACAAGCAATTTCAGAACTCCTGCCTACCAGATTTGCCAGAGTAAGAAAAGTCTTATCTTTTTGAACTATTTATTACCATGATCTAATAAGGGCCCAAAAATGAGTTTTCTGTGCTACTAGTCTGCTGGCTGTCTAAATAAAGAGCTTGCAGCTAACTTCCAAGTTACAAGTAGTTCATAATTCATCACTGGGACATCATCACATCTAAGCACATGGTTGCACAGTTTGTTCTCCCTTGAATCATTTTCCCTAATCTTCATCCGTCTCCTACTCACACTTTCATCTCATGAGTTTCTTCTATACAGCCTCTGTTTATATCCTCAGGCTATGAACAATGTCCTTCTTTGGTGTGCCATAGGACCCTTTGTATATCTCTAATGGAGGATAACTCATTCTGTACATGCATTAGGGTTTCTATTTCTCTACCGAAATGCTCTTTAGCTTGGTATCCATATCGCCCAGCATAGTGCTTGGTAGACAGTAAATATTAAATAGATGGCTATTGAATTGACATATCATCAAGAAACATTTATTAAACCACCACTACTACTACTAGACAAGAACTCTGCCAACTTTGACAGGGACAAAGACATATAGGATATGAGACCTCATCAGGTTGGGAAATAATTTACATATATATGTAAAGGTACACAGTAAATATAAAATGTCCTGTAAGTAGCATAGTGTTCGGTATTTTTAAGGATGGGCTCTCACTAAGTACTCCAGGATGGCCTGAGACTCAAAATTCTCTTGACTCTACCTCCTAAGTGCAAGCACCGTCACGTCTTTCAAAGTAGCAGTGTTAAGAACTAAGGATGTTGAAAAAAAAAAAAAAAAAAAACTAAGGATGTTGGACCAATGGCTGTTTAAAAACGATGATGAATTTATCCGTAGTTCAGACATTTTTATGTTTAGAACACGTTGAGAAAAGGTAGTATCATACCTTCTTTCTTAGTCCTGTTCTCATTTCTCATTTTTTCTCAGGCTTATTCTCTTCAACAATTTCCAAGGTAAGACAGTTATTCTAAATTTTCAACAATCTCTTTAATCTAAGTGATTCCCAATCAGAAGAGGTTTGATTTTTCAGGAAGAAGAAAAACTAGATAACTAGATAAAGATTTTTTAAATTCTATGGTTACATAATGAGACTCTCTATCATTTAAGTTTTATTTTTTAAAATTGCATCTTTTATTCTAACTTTAACCAAGTTCATAGTTATTCAATTAATATGCTCCCATCTTTCACATCTTCCTAGCTAGGGTGGTCACTGGATTCCTGAGATTACCATTGCTACTACCTGAGTAATTGAAACATTTAATACCATAGAATAAAAGTGTACCTTGATCGCCCTGCACATCATTTTCTTCAAATAAAATAGTTTTACATTAAGAACTTGCTAAAATTGTTGTGTCTTCTCCAAAAACATAAAGACATTAAAGGAAAGGGGATATCTTATCTTTAAGCCTGATTTATACAAGAGGTACTTTTGGGTTGCCAAAATTTACATAATTTCAAAACAAATAATCAGACTAACCCTTTCCAGGAAACAAGGTCCAACTCTTTCTGGAGCATTAGAGCAATCTTCCAGGCTGCTCATAAAAATGCTGTGAAATTTGCAGAGAAAAAAGTTATTTTTGACATATAATAAAACAGTAAGTAGCTCTTTTATTTTCCATCTTTTGAAACTGGGTCTCCTTATGTAGCCCTGGATGTCCTGGAACTCACTACATAGATCAGGTTGGCCTCGAATTCACAGAGAGACCCATCTATTTCTGCCTCACTAATGCTGGGATTAAAGATGTGTACCAATGACACCTAGCAGTAACTCTTTTTGAAAAAACAAAATCACCAAAAACTTCAGTTTAGCAATTACGTACTTGTTATGGAATTCATATATTTCTGCCATATTTCCAAAGAGAACATCCTTTTTATTTCTCAGTAGAGGTGGAATAAGATCAAACATCTGTGGATTGTCCATCTCAGATCTGTAGCCCTATTAAAAATAAATAATTTTTGCATTTTAAGTATTTATATTAAAGTTTTGTTGAGTCACTGATGATATCAGTACATCAAAGTGAATAAAAGACTTGTGGGTACAGCTGTTTGAATTTTAACATTTAAATCCCTTAGTTACCAGAATTATCTGTGGCATTTTTTTTCTTTTAGTATGCAGGATAAGAAAATCAAAGCTTCGACTACATGGTTAGAATAAAAAGGTAGTACTTTGGCCTTCAAGGCTTTTATTGTAGTGTTGGAAACCAAACAGAAACCAACTATGAAAAATTATAGTACAGAATATAAAGGTCTCCGTAAATTGAAAGTAAGTGCTTAGATTTCTGTTCAGACCAAATTAGTATCATGGCATTTGTGTCAAATGAGTATTTTTATCCCACCCTCAGTTTTTTCCATCTCAACCTCTAAGTAGCAGCCTGGGAATAATTATAACAATGCCCCATGTCCCTAAGAGAACAGCTTCTCTTTTCTATAAGAAATTCTAAATCACGTATCCCCACTACTGAGAAGGAATATAAATGCCGTCATTAAAACAACATGTATTCTCAAATAACAGCAAACATACACTGCTACCAATGACGGAGAGAGAAACACAAGACTGCTTAGAATACTTTCTAATGGAAGTAGCCAGGGACAAGTCAAGAAAATGCGGCGGGGGGACGACAATTTGCTACACTTACCAACAAAACAGTAAACAGTTCTCCAACATATGCCTTTTCTGTCTGTATCAGCTCATTCAGGACATGGCTACAACGAACAGAACATAATTACCAGTTAATGTCCTACTCACAAATCACGGTACAATGGTTCAGCTATTATCTTTAGACATAATCTAAGGGAAAATAAGCTAATCTTGTGGAACTACCTGAGGATTTTGTTCCAGCATCAAAATATGTAGCTTATTTTATGGGTTTTGGAATCAGTACCACCCAGAAGGCTCTTAAACAGATTTAAAAGAAAGAAGTCTGGGTGTGGTGGCACACACTTTTAATGCCAGCACTCAAGAAGCAGAGGCAGAGGCAGAAGAATCTCTGAGTTCAAAGTTAACATTCATTCTAGGCTTGCCAGGGCTACATACCAAGACTCTGTCTCATGGGGGGGGGGGGGGGGGGGTTCAAGGAAGAAACATGTTTAAGGCTATGTGCTAACACAAAAGTGATTTCTAATTCACTTAGATTAAGAATAAATTTATTAAAATGTTGTGGAGTATTATTTTATTTTAAGATGTATTACATTCATTTTTGCTGTGGAACATTTGTTTAATGATGCAAAGGTATGTTGCATTCTTTTATATTGCATTTGTTTAACTCTGCGAAGTTATGTTACTTTGCCTGTCTAAAACACCTGATTGGTCTAATGAAGAGCTGAATGGCCAATAGCAAGGCAGGAGAAAGGATAGACAGGGCTGCCAGGCCGAAAGAATAAATAGGAGGAAAAATCTGGGAAGAAAGGAGATCAAGGAACAAGACAACATCATGGGCCAGCCACACAGCCAGACGTGGAATAAAAAGAAAGATAGGCAGAAATAGAGAAAGAGAAAAGATGAGCTAATTTAAAGTTAAGAATAGATGGCAAGAAACAAGCCAAGCTAAGGCCGGCTTTTGTAAGTAAAAATAAGCCTCTATATGTGATTTATTTGGGAACTGGTTAGCGGGCCCCTCAAAAAAACAAATAATAAAAACAACCAACAACACTAAAATCTCACAAAACCTATTTGGGAATGAAAGGCAAGTTTTGATCTTTCTAGACAGCTTAATTTCCTTTTTAAAAACCAATACATGCCGAGTACGTTCCACGCTATCCCCAATTCCTAGACACATGGTAAAATCATTACCCTTTTCCTCACATTGGATAGGAGGAAAACTTAAGACTCTACAGCACTACTGCCTGCCATCTCTATCAAATAAAATACATTTTATTTTCAACTGGCATATTTAAATTTTACTCCCCTCTGTAATATAAGCCACCTACTTAACCTCTACCTTTGTATATTTCTTCTTTTCTTTCTTATACTTTAAAGAATTTAGACCCTGTAGTTTTATAATGAGTCTCTTTCAATTATCTTTAATAATCTTGGGATACATATATATCTCCATGCAATTTGCTGCAACCTGCTGGCTATTTCCAACACCAAGATATGAAACTTTATTCCCTTTGGTTTTCTGAGGCAGGTTCCACCATGTACCTCTGGCTGTCCTTGAATTATGTAGACCAGGCTAGCTTCAAACTTGAAAGATTCACCTGCCTCTTCCTCCACCCCCAAGGTCTGGGATTAAAGGAATGCACCTCTAGGCCCAGATCATGATATGAAACTTAGAGGTAAATATTTTCAAGTTTAGAATATTAACATAAGAATATAAAAGCATGTAAAGGGGCGTTGCTAATATCTATGAGGTAGTATCTAGAATCCTGTATGGCTTTTCACAAACCACTTCATTGATTTTCATTTATTTTAAACTGAAAGAAACTGTCATGGCTTTAACTGTCAACTTGTCACAAAACGACAATAGCCTAAGAAAAGCAAACAAAAACTGAATAATTGCGCAGTCTGACTTGTGTACATAAGTCAGTGGGGGCATTCTTTCAATTGATGTATGAGGACTCAGCCCAGGCTGGGTGGTGCTACCCCTGGGCAGGTAGTCCTGGACTGTCTAATAAATACATACATACATACATACATACATACATACATACATACAAAAACTTAGCAAGCTATGGGGAGCAAGCCAGTAAGCAGCATCCCTCCATGGCCTCTGCTTTAGTTCCTATGTCAAGAAGCCTGCCCTGACTTCGTCTCATAGTGAACAGTGATCTAGAAATATAAACCAAATAAACCATTTCCTCCCCAAATTGCTTTTGATCTTTATCACTGCAACAGAAACCAAACTAGAACAGATGGTACATCCCAATCCCAAGGGTACAACATTTCATTTATTAGTGCAATCATTCTGGGAATCTAATGTACAGCATGGCTACTATCATCAATGAGGTATCTTATACAGAAGAAATACACTTAAAAAGTAGAATTTACACACTATGTTTTACCCTAAAAAGCAACAATCAGTGTTAACTAACTTGCTATAGTAATCATCTTATCCCCCACATACACACATACAGACATACGTTATATAGATATAGATATCTCATATTGTATATCCTAAATGTATACACTTTTTCCCAATTATATTTCAATAATACTAGGAAACACAGGCTTTGGAAAGAATGCATGCTGCTCTAGCAGAGGACACAGGTATGGTTCCCAGGATCCACATAGAGGCTTATAACCATTTGTAACTGCAGGTCCAGGAGCTCTGACTCCCTCTTCTGCCTCCCTGGTCACCAAGCACACACATGGTACACAAATATGTAGACCAAACATTCATACACATAAAATACAAATTAGATAGATAGATAGATAGATAGATAGATAGATAGATAGATAGATAGATAGATAGATAGATAGATAGATAGATAGATAGATAGATAGATAGATAGATGGATGGATGGATGGATAGATGAATTAATGAAAAATAAATAAACACATGATCTGAACTGGTAAAAACAAAAACAAATCAAACTCTTTCATTTTCCTTTTCAATCTGGAGATGAAAGATACAAAAGTCCTAAAAGCGGACTAGGATGTAGTTTAGGGCAGAGCACTTGCCTTACAATCCCCAGTACTACCAAATAAAAATCATCAGCTCCTCAAACCTAAATCCAAGATGTGTGACACCTTGCTAGTACTCTATTAATGTCCTCATTAGGACCCTATTTTGAAAACATAATTCTAAACACATGAGCCTTGGACACCGAACCAGAGTCTCCTGTAAAGAGGTGTACATATGAATGTAGGTAAAAAAAGAAATAATACTTCTTTAAAATATCCAAGTTATTGTCCAATCTGGGAGAGTGATCAGAATTCCTCTTCTCTTGGCTATCCTTAACGACTTCAATCTGAAATAATGAAAAAAAAGTTCAATCATGTCTATGTAGGTACAGTACTTTCTCAAATATATCTAATACCAAATTAACTTCAATCCTAACCTTGAAGGTAAACTGATAGAAAACACTGTATTTTTTTAAAACTTATTCCCCAAGGATACATGCCAAGACCCTCAAGGATGCCTGAAACTGTGGACGGTACTGAATCCTCTATGTACTGCACTTTTCCATAGATACATATGCATGATAAAGAAATGTAATTTTTAAATTAAGCACAGTAAGATTAAAAATAATAATGCATAATAAAATATCTTATAATAAAAATTATATAATTCTATATCTTTTTTTCTCTAGAATTTTCCAGTTAATATTTTGAACCACCATTGACCACAGGTAGCTAAGCGTGTGAAAACTGAAATGAGTCAAGTACTGTGCACATCAAGAAACCAATAGAAGCTGGGCATAGCGGTGCATGTCTTTAACCTCAGCACTCTGAAAGCAGAGCAGGTAGATCTCTATGAGTTTGAAGCCAGCCTAGTCTACATGTTGAGCTCCAGGACAGTTCAAAATAAGGGAGGGAGGGAGGAAAAGAGGGAGGGAGGGAGGGAGGGAGGGAGGGAGGGAGGGAGGGAGGGAGGGAGGGAGGGAGAAGAGAAAGAGAAAAATTAAAAGGAAACAAATAGATGTGTTTCCTGCATCCTGAGTCAGTCTCTGCACTGTCCATGATAAACTGGACTCTATCCTTCATACTTACAGTGCCACACTCATTCATGAAAGAAACCACTATCTGTAGAAAGATAAAGCATTGCTTAGGAGGGTGGAGGTGGGCAGTATGAACAAGAACTGGAACTGATACACAGAGCTCTGCAGAGATGATTCTGAACTTGAACCAGGACTTTAAGAAATACTGCTCACACACTGGGACTATGCCAATACTTCAATTAAACACAAGGCAGCAGATTTTTCTTGTACGTGTAGGTTTTCAAATGTACAAGGTCTGTGTAATGAATGGAAAACATGCCTAAAATCCCCATACTAATTCCGCAATTATAGCAGCACAGCCAACTTTGAATTCATTAATTAATTGTACTTACTTTACTTAATTGCATGTTGCTCTGAGCTTGAGTCTGTCTCCAAGACTTCTTTACTAGTAGGGAAATGTAAAATAACGTTAGACCAGAATTAAAGTCAACAGTTTTAGTGACAACATGGTGTGTGTTCATTGAAAAGAAAGCGAATGCTTCAATATATTTGTTAGTATTTTAAATCACTCTACAGAAGACAGCAATTGGTTAGATGTCTATATAAATCCAACTTTTTATGGAATATCATTTTGCTATATACTACCCATTTCCTCATTAACCACACAATCACCTACTTGCCAAAAGAAAGGGGTGTTAAGTAGTCCCAATTATGCAATTATGTTTATACTTAGTATGCATTCTGCCACACAAACATTCCATCAGATTGTACTTCACTTGCTAACTGGATCAAAGACTTCTTTGAATCATACATAGCCCTACATGTATGAGACCAGGGAAGACCAGGGAAGGGTACTTGGGGAGGGTAGTGAAAAGAACAAATTATGGGGCTGGCAAGATAGTTGATCAAGTAAAAGTGTTACTGCTAACCCTAATGAGCTAAGTTTGCTCCCCAAGACCCATATGATAGCAGGTGAGCAGCAACCCCAGTAAACTGTCCTCTGACCTCCATATGTTTACCGTTACACACACACACACAAATGCAAATAAATTATGTATGAAAAGCCATAATGAAATTCATTGCTTTATATATTAACTTAAAAATTAATAACAAAAAATCCAAGTTGAACCTAGTAAATATAGCATTCAGCATTTATTTGGCACTTACCCCAAGCAGGCCCCGAACTAAGCCCAATGGTTTGTTTTCTTTTTTCATTCTCAAGTCTACACTAAGCGATGGAGAACAGTATCTATCTCATCTTACAGGTAGCACTAAGACTAATACCTTGTTCAGGAAGTAAAGGTGGTATTTAAACCCATACATGTTTCTAAATACTACATAAAGGATTTCCAAAATAATTGATAAAATGCTCATAAAAACCCCTTCACCAAAATGCAAAGTTTTACTCTTTATTTTTAAACAGTAAATTTCCAGCACTGGGAAAAAAACAGGGTGTAGGGTGAACTGGGAATATAGCTCAATGACAGAGCACTTGCCTAGCATGTGTTCAGTTCCCAGCACTGACAAAAGATGTTTTCACAGAAACAAGCAAGTAAAGGGCATGGACAAATCAAAGAATATATAAAGTTCCAAATCCTGAAAGCTGTTACCTGAGTACTGGCCTCAGCATGGAAGATATATACCCTTTATCCTCCTCTCCTTGGCAAAAGCTAATGGCAGACACATTGAGGAAGTGGATGGTCTTTCATAGTCTATAAAATGTGTACTTCACTGCCATTCATTAAAAAGTATTGACATATGCAAGCTATATATAACTACATATTAGACTTAGTGTGAGTTACCATATAAAATCATTTCTTGATAAGTACTGATGTGCCTCACTTTAAAGATATCTAACATACAAAGATCCAAATTTATTCCTAAAGGTAAATTATGGGTTGTTTGCAAACACACAGAGGTAGAAAAGGGTATGTGTGTATACCTCCATAACACACCTTTTTCTCAAAAGCGAGGTAACTATACTCATTCTTTTAACAATGTAGAGACATACGAAATGGCTAAGCACCTGTGTGATGTGACAAGCTACTTTCTGTGTTTGGGGATATGCAAAGGTGACTTGCACACAGATCCTGTCCTTGCAGAGAGTGTCCTGTCTAGCAAGTGCAACAGGAAACAGAGAAGTTGGCTGCAGCTGAGAAGAAATAAGGAAGCTTGTTGTTACATGAGATGGACGCCTGCTTGAGCCAAGCTACAGGGGACCAGCACAGAATAGAGAAAAGCATGTCTAGAGGAGGCAGCCTAGAGATAGGAACTAGCAACGAGGCAATGGAGCAATCAGGCAAAAGCAGTCCAGAGAATCAGCAATCTATGCAAATTCCACAAGGTAAAAGAAAAGGAAACAAGGAAAGTGTGGCAATGGGAGCCAAAAAGACTATTGCCAAGGCCATGGGTGATGCTACCTTAGACTCAGAAAGTGTCAATAAAGGAAGTAATGGTGGGAATAAATAGACGCATAAAGGGCATATTTAGTGACAAAAACAATGGTATAGGAGTGAGCAGGAAGAACTAAATTAGGACAAATGGGGCCATCATAGTACCTATCAACAAGATGAGGAAGAAAAGATTTACAGAAGAGATATGTTCTTGTAGGAATGGTGAGACTGTTTCCTATGGGAAATTCCATATGACAAATACCAGTCTGAAGCATAGGTGACAAACCTAGACTATAAACAGAGCTTTTGGAGCCCAAGCATAGCTTCCACTTTATTCCTCAATGGCACTGCCCTTCCACAACTTCCCTCCGTTCTCAATGCGAATTCATCAAACATCTTATGCCATCCTGCTCGTTTCCAGGCACGATGCCAGGTGGAAGATTCAGTTTGATGAAAAGGGGGGGAAGCAAAAACAGAATAAAAAACCAGTTTGACTCATTTTCATGAAAAAATTAGCACACACTTTGATTTGGTCAATTACTTGGTTTACCAATTCCAAGTTTTGAAAACTTGTCTGAAATATGTTATTATATCCTGCATTACCCACAGATAATCAATAGGGTAAATGTTCAGAAGATTCACAGCATAAATGGTGATTTGGTTTCATTTACAAACCATGAAGGATGATGGGAAAAATCGCCTCTCCCAGCCATTTATTCATTAAGGTGTCTTCTCCCTCATAAATACACCAAGTAGTCTTAAGCTGAAGCAAATCCAAGCTATTCCCAACAAATATCTGGATATGAGTGGTGTGAGTCTTTAAAGTGAAGAAAACCCTGATTCACATTAATTTCACTAAACTCTTTTTAAGATGTATTTTTATTTACTTTGAATTATATCTATGTGAGTGAGTCTATTGGTACCCACAGAGGCCAAAAGAGGGCATTAGATCCCCTGGAATTACAGGTTGTTGTGAGCTGCCATGTGGATGCTGGGAAGTGAACCGGGGTTCTCTGGAGGAGCAGGGAGTACTCTTAACCACTGAGCCATCTCTCCTGCCTCCTCTCTCTTTTGGTTAAGTGGTAGTTTTATGAAAGAAAATTGACTTTAGAAGCATATTTTATTCTTTACATAGTCATTTTTTAAGGAAAATTCAATGTCAAAAGAGAATAATGGATAGTTGGTATGAAAAAATAGATAAAGTTATTTGAAGGTAGAATTCATGAATGAACTGCTGCTGTTTTTATGTGCCAAACTGGTTTTTCATGTGTACAAACTCATAAACTCTATTGATGATAAGTAATATAATAAAGATGGGTACCTTTTGAAAAAAGTTTACATGCTTGAAAGAAAGAATATCCAACTCCCACTGCAGAAAGAAAGTGTAATGCCATTAAATAAGAATATGAGAAAGAAAGAAAAATGAAATAATACAAAACAAAATTTTCTTTGAATGACTAATGACATGAATGGGTCTTGGACAGCCTGGTCACGAACCAAAGTTCTCTGCTTCAGGAAGACTTAAGCTTTGGGGGGGGGGGGGTCTGCTAAGAAAGGAGATTTAATCAGGAGGAAGAGAGAATCCAATTTATTGAGTAATTGTCATTTTCTGTATTCTGTTTCACTTTCTCATTATAATCACCTCTGAAATCAGAAGGTATTTGTCCCTACTTTACAGACAAAGACACTGAGTTAACAGTGGGTAGCCGCCCAAGGTCACACAGCTAAAGTATCCTGAAATCGAACTGATATCTACTTTGTGCTTAGAAATATCAACTATTGTGTTTCATCAGCTCATTGTGCTACTGTTATTCTTTTACTTTTTTCATTACCTTTGATATTTCCAGTATCTTGGTATGTTTTTTACTATAGTCAACATTATTCATTTACACCATTGCTCACACAGTCTTATTTTGAGTATATGTATGCATTTTGGAATTACTAACCATATAACTTCCATTGCATTTGTAATTTGACCCATGCTGGAGATGAGTTGTATTTATTCATTACCTCTGGTTCAAGCTTCTCTGCATTTCAACGTAGTTTCATACACTAGTAAAATGACTGATTCAATTTAGGTCAAAGAGAGTGAATTTAGCCATATGTTCACCTCTCCTACTAACCTAACTTGTGCAAAAGATCAAAACTGCTCTCTCCCCAAAAGCTGCAGAGATAGCTCCAAGAAACCCTTGGGGAATTAATTCTTATTTTCGCACTAATTCAACACCTTTATAAGAATTATTATTTTTCCTATAGAACTTGGAAAGGAATGGGAGAGTACACAATAAAATAGACTTCAAGGAGTAAAACATAAAAATGGAATCTGTAACAAGAAATTACTAACACAAGTGGCATTTACCGGCACCAACCTATTATATAAAACACTCGTATGCAAGGATCACATAAGGTGCAGGTATCACAAACTGAACTGGACTTTCGGGTCTATCTTTTGCGTCCTTGGAATCAGCCTGTTGGTTCTCAACTATACTTGGAATACTTTCAAGCTTGAGTTGTACAGTCTGCATTTGAGCCTACAGATTACATAATAATAGCTTACTGGAGTACCAATAAGTATTATGCTTATAACTACATGTATGCAAATATAAGTTTCATGTCCTTTTCTCTAACTGCCGAGGAAAACAAAAATTGAAGTCTGATGCTGAAAACTTGTCATACTCATTTCTCAAGCTACAATATTCCATGCTGAGGTGTTCATCATCTGACGCAATTCAGTGTTACTACTATGTCTTATGAACATAAAGGAATCTCATTCTGACCTCTGTCTTGTACAACAGCATTTAAACATGCACAAAGAGGCTAAAAGATTTTAAATTTATCAGTATTGAAAAAGAATTTAGTAGATATATGAACTATATCAAAAGAAACAATAGCAAGACCAAAAAAGAAATAAAATGTGAAAACAAGCTACTTTACCATGTTTAGGTGAAAAAAACATTGCTCTGGACCTCATCAAATTTTCAGGTGCAGGTATGACAAACTGAACTGGACTTTCAGATCTACCTTTTGAATTCTTGGAATCAGCCTGTTGGTTCTCAAATATACTTCGAATACTTTCAAGCTTGAGTTGTACAGTCTGCATTTGAGCCTACGGATTACATAAGAATTCTATAAGCTGGGGCTGGAAACATGGGTCAGCAGTCAAGAACACTGGCTGCTCTTGAAGAGGATCTGGGTTCAAGTCCCAGCACCCACGTGACCACTCAGAGCCATGTGCAATTCTAGTTTTTGAATTATCCAACATCTTCTTCTAGCTTCTGTATACACCAAGCATTGTACATTGTATACATCTATACACACATGCAGTTAAACACACACACACACACACACACACACACATATATATATAATAAAATGTAAAATTATATGAACTGCTAGGCATAGTAAAGTACATTTTTAATTAAGGCACTAAGGAGACAGAGGTAGGTGAATCTCTGTGAGCTCAAGGCTGGCCTAGTTTACATAGCTAGTTCCAAGTCAGCCAAGGCTGCATAGCCAGGCTTGTCTCAAAAAACATGAAATGAACTAAAATGAAATAAGTCATAAAGACTACTATTAAATTCTTCAGATACAATTTCAAATTTGAATTCCAGGACTGGGGAGATGGCTTAGTCGGTAAAGCGCCTGCTACGTAATCATGGAAACCTGAGTTCAGAACCCGAGCAGTCATATAAAATCCAGGCAAGGCAGGAACTTCTATCACCTCAAGGCTGGGATAGCAGAGACAGGAGTGTCCCTGGAGCTCACTGGCCAGCCACGCTAACTGAATCAGCAAGAGCTCCAAGTTCACTGGAGAATGTCTCAGCATAAGGAGAGCGACTAAAAACCATCTTGAGGGTCAACTTTGGGCTCCCACCAGTGTGCACATGTGTGCATGCTCACACAAGCATGTAGATGCACATGGGTATACATACCCACAAGCATTTAGATGAATACATGTACATATCCACACAAGCATGAACATGCACACATGTACACAACCACACAAGCATGAACATGCACACATGTACACAACCACCCAAGCATGAACATGCACACATGTACACAACCACCCAAGAATGAACATGCACACATGTACACAACCACACAAACATGTAGAGGTACTGCATACCAAATAAATTAATATGTAGGTATCGAAGCGATATATCTTTAGATTATAGTCTAGAAGAATAATTGTTTTAATTGCTGTTTAAGGACTAGGGAGATGGTTCATTGGGCAAAAAGATTTCTACACAAGAATCCAAAGAACACATACACAAAGTGGGGCATAGCATGTGAATCTCTGGTCTCTGTATGTCATGTGCTCACACGTACATGCACACATACAAATGCAAACATATAACACAAACACAGAAACAACTTATTTTGAACTTAAAATATAACTAGGACAAAATTAGGAAAGAAACAGAACAAATTACTGTATTCTCTATGTAAATATAAAACCAAAGTCCCAATATAAACAAACTGAGGGAAAAATGTATCAATCATAAAACTGGACATAACACTCTACTCCACTTAAGGGCCTCTGAGGATATAGAACAAAATGTACTTGAAAACTCATAGCACATTTGAAAAACTTAAAAATAATAGAGTCAGACTATAAGAGTCAGCACTCAGGAGGTCAGAGTTCCAGGCCAACCAAGGCTATACATGAAACCCTGTCTCAAGCAAACAAACAAATGATATACAATAATAGACTCAGAGCTCGTGGTGAAAGTTAGTCTTACATATACAGCCCACGCATGCCTTTGGATTCTTTGATACTTGACAGTGGCACTACTATCATCCCTCAATCCTCTTGAGAGAGGACTGTGGATATATCCCCACAGCTGACTTTATATCAGGATACTGATATAAAGTCAGCTGTGGGGTAGTAAACCCTTACCCCATGGTAATTAGTTTGTGTGTCTTTGAATAAAATGTTTCTCACCTTTAATTCAGAAGAAAGGTGCACATCAAATTCATATTGCAAATTCTCAATATCATAATTGATGAAGGGCACAGCCATTTGAAGGAAATTTTGCACATCCTGAAGGGCTTTCTGAGCATCTTCTTTAGTCTGAAACTGATCCATTCCCTGATTAGCCAGGAGGCATTCTCCTTGATCACAGCACTGACGTGCCTGATGAGGAAAATCATGAAAATCAGAGCAGCAAATGTAAGAATGGATAAAGGGGATGTGGGTTTGCCAGTAAAAGAGCTGTCTTGGGCTGGAGAGACAGCTCAGTGGTTAAGAGCACTGGCTGCTCTTCCAGAGGACCCAAGTTCAATTCCCAGCACCCATATGGTGCCTCACAACTGTCTGTAATACCAGTTCCAGGGACCCAACACCCTTACACATATATACATGCAGGGAAAACTCCAATGCACATAAAATAAAGATAATTAAATCATTTAAAATGTTGAAAAAAAGAAGCTGTCTATCTTTTTTATTATCACAACTTAGTGGAGGGGAGGGGAATGTAAATGGCTGTGCAAAGCACACGCAGGCCACAACACACATGTAGAAGTTGGAGGACAATTTGGTGGGAGACAGATCTCTCCTTCCAGCAGATGCATTCTTGGATTCGACTCTGGTTATAATGCCCGTCAGCAAGTGCCTTTACTCACTGAACCACCTGTGTGCTGGAGCTTATCTGTCAATAAGAATTGCTTTCAGAAGCCAGCCTTGATGGCACACAATTTGAATCCCAACGCTCAGAAGGCAGACGCAGGTGGATCTCTATGAGCTTGAAGCCAGCTTGGTCTATAGAGTGAGTTCCTAGCCAGCCAGAGCTACATAGTGACACTCTGTTGCCATTAGAAAGAAAAGAAAGACAGACAGAGGGGGAGGAAGGGGAAAAGAGAGAGAAGGAGGGGGAGGAGGAAGAGAAAGAAAGGAAGGAAGGAAGGAAGGAAGGAAGGAAGGAAGGAAGGAAGGAAGGAAGGAAGGAAGGAAGGAAGGAAGGAAGGAAGGAAGGAAGGAAGGAAGGAAGGAAGGAAGGCTTTCAGAGCTGTTAATAAATGGTATCTAGGGTTGCCCCCAGAAGCTCTGATTCAATAGCGCTGGGCTGCTAGGCAGCCATTCATATTATTAAAGCACTCCACTGATTACTGATGCACAGCCAAGGTTGAGAAGCACTGCATTTATTTCGTAACTAGTAATTTCTTCTGCAGCAGGTGTCTGACCATTTTCTCAGTTGCATGTTATTTTCTACAAATCAATAACTGAAATATGAAACTCCTAGTAAAATATGAAGTGTAATAGCAATGCTTAATGATTGCCAAGAACAAGAATAAAGGGTGGGGTTTTTCTGAACCAGAAGAGATGTGCAGATTAGCACGCTTAGTGCAGATGCGATGCTGACAAATGGGACTGCTGTTTACATTCTGCATTGCCATGACCAGGTCTTTTCATTCACTGCTTAATCACAAAAGAGTTCTGACCCACAGGTATGGCAGAAGAACTTTTCAGTCACCAGTTAATTTTTAGTGCCGAACTATGAAATGTGGAAGGAATTTCAGGCTTCTGCAAAACGTCCCCTAGGCTTTTAAGTACTCTAACTGCAGAATAGCACCAAGTTTCGGAGATAGACTTAAAATAGAAAGGAAGCCATCACTGCCATGGTCTCCACATTGAGAACAAGACAAAATTAGTACTCCATGGAATCTGCCACAAATAGTACATAGGGAGATAGACTGAAATCTATAAGCAGGCTCCATCCTTAAGACCTCTGGCAAATCTAAATCCAAAGCTATGGCCCCTGACCCCTTAACCTTTGAAGAAAATATACAATAAAATGTATGGCCAAGTATATGGGAATAGGAAAGGTGTAGAGTAAGGCATAAGGGCAAGAATGTGAAAATTAGAGAACCCAAGAAGAAAAAAATGATCTTTCTCGGAAATGAGTCATTTTCCATGCTATTACCTGCTGCAGGAGCTTGTGCATTTTGAAAGTCCTGCTCAGCTGTACCCGCTTTGCTCTGATCTCATTAACCAAAATATCAGAAAGGTAGCGAAGCTCATTGCATCTCTGGCAGATTAAATCAAGTGCATAGTGGTGATTTGAGGCAAGCTTGTGGCCATGTAGTATCACAAGCCGGGCCTTGGCTAACAGCTCCTGATTGGAAAGAGGGGAGAAAAGTCAGGACTGGATGATCTCTGCTCTTAGAGCATTGGGGGGGGGGGGGGGGGGAGCAAAGAAAAACATCATTAAAGATTACATTTGGCAGGGAAAATAAATCGCCATAAAACATGATGTCATGTCATTTTTCTGCATTCAGTAAAATAGGACACACACACAAACAAACAAAATAAAAACCTCACACTGATAACGATTAACTACAACTGGCATTAAGCATCAGAAGTGCAAGCATTTCTGGATATAAAATGAAAGTCAACTACACCATTCCACTCAGGATATAGATCGCCTTCTAGAGTGCACAGACATAAAACAGAAGCACATACAGCACCCAGCATAAAGTAAACACCAGCCGAATGAAAGCTAATCCATTTCTATCTTAATTCAAGTTGTTCCTCACCTAAGCGCTCTGGCTGTACCTAAAGTGAATAGCAGAAGGGACTCTCATGACTTCACTTCCATTCTGTCAACTACTGACTCCCATAGCACAGTGACTGAAACATGGTAGCGACATAATGTTTCCCGAAGCAAAATAAGGCAAACTGAAGCCCAGATGAGGCAGTGACTGGCCTTCCTAGCTATTGGGAAACCCACAATTAAAACAGAGTTGCTTTTTTTAAATGCGCCAGACATTCAATCTTACATATGAAAATACCACCGTCCTAGTTAGGTTTAATTGCCAACTTGACACAGCCTAGAGCAGTGGTTCTCAACCTGTGTATCACAACCCCTAGGGGTGCCAAAGAAGCCTTTCGCGGGATTCACTGAAGACAAACAGAAAACATGGGTATTTACATTGTTATTCATAACCATTATGAAGTAGCAATAAAAATAATTTTATGGTTGGGGGTCACCAGAACGTGAAGAACTGTATTAAAGGTCGCAGCATTAGGAAGATTGAGAACCACCGAACTAGAATGAGCTGAAAGCCTCAGCTGAGGACTTTCCCATATCAGATTGTCTGGGCATGCTTGTGAAAGACTGTCTTGATTACCAATTGATGGAGGAGGCCCCGCCCACTGTGGTCAGTATCCTCCCTAGGCAGGTGGGCCTGAGCTATCTAAACTAGCTGAGGGTGAGCTGGGGAGGAAGGGAGCAAGCAACATTCCTCCGTGGGGTTTTCTTCCGGTTTCTGTCCTGGCCTCCCTTAAAGACGGACTATGACCTGGAACTTTAAGCCGAACAAACCTTTTCTTCCTCAAATATGCTTTTGCTCAGCGTGTTTTATCACCGTAATGGGAAGGAAACCAGAACCACTACTGAACTGGGGGCTTAAAAATGGCAGGTTCTGGGCCATCCGTTTAAATCACATTGGAAAAAAGTATTCAAAACAAATAAAGCCCCTGGCTTCAAAGTCAGGTTGCCCTCTCTGTCCACTCTGTCTGTCGTGGGGAGGTGTCAAGGGCAACACAGCACAGAGGGCCACATGCCTAACTCCTTTACTGGTTACTGCAACTTCCCGACCTCGGCTACCACTTGCACACGCTTGTGGTTCAATCATGAGTTCGTTTTCTAAGCATTGCTTTGCTGTCACATACAAGGCAGAAGAGCAAAGGTAGTTTACTAAGTATTAAAGTCACGAATCTAAGCTCTAGAATTAACAAGAATGCTGGCAACTGCTTTTCCGTTGAGTACATAATAATATTCAGGGGCTATACTAAGCACTATGGATACATCTAGAGAAATACTCACCCATCACTCTCCAAAGAAGGTCATTTTACTTCCAAGTTCTAGAAAAGGGCATTGAAGCCTATAGATCAATTCACCCAAGGTCCAACAGCTACTCAGACTGAGAAGAGCTGTCTGTGTGGATCTGGGATTGATTCAACTATGTATAATGAACATTAGACAATCCGTAGTCTTATATCATTCCATAAGTTCCATATACAAAATAACTCTTTTTTGAGGCAGGGTCTCATGTAGAATAGGCTGGCCTAAAACTCGCTATGTATCTGCGGCCCCATTATGTATCATTCTTGACAGACATCTTTTCCTAACGTCTCCAAGACAATTTAATCTCATTGTAGAGCCTACAACTTACATAATTGTATACAACTACATGATGCATCTGCAATGTTATCCTAGGGCCACACTTAAAAATGGATTTAGGCTGGAGAGATGGCTCAGAGGTTAAGAGCATTGCCTGCTCTTCCAAAGGTCCTGAGTTCAATTCCCAGCAACCACATGGTGGCTCACAACCATCTGTAATGGGGTCTGGTGCCCTCTTCTGGCCATACACACAGACAGAATATTGTATAAACAATAAATAAATAAATATTTTTAAAAAATAATAAAATAAAAATGGATTTAGGCTAGTATCACTGTGTCAACTATATACTTATGACAGGTTAAGTATAATAAGCATGTATATTATGCCCCAATAAAACATAAACAGAGAAAATACTAAAATGTAATCTTACCTGAGATTTTTCATCCAAGTTCTCTATTTTTTTAAGTCTTTGTTTTATCTGAGTTAAGTTCCCTGTTGCATCACTGAGTTCTCTTTGTTGATTTAATACAAATTCAATTTTAGTCATAACCTACAAGGAAGATATAAAGGTTTTAAAAGCATGTGAATTATTAAGAATTCACCTTTATGATTAATCTTACTGCAACTTGATATGCCATGTTTTATTGATACTCATTAGAAGCCTTCCCTTTGCTGTATGAAGATGGAAGAGGAGTGGTTTGGGGGCAAAACGGGGCACTGGGAGAGAGGGACTGGAAGGGGAGGATGGGGAGAGAGGCTGCAGGTGGGATATAAAATTAATAGATAAATTTAAAAAGGAGAAAAAAAGAATTCACCTTTAGCAATGATCAGTTACATAAGAAATGCTATTAAACAAGAATGCCAATAGGAGAAAATTATACATATAGGAAATATGTTCAGCTATTTTGCTCACAGAAATAAATGTAATCTGTTAAGTTATAGCCTCTTAGATATCCATGCATACTTAATTATATATAAGATCACTGTGTACATGTGCAGACATATATAGCAGACATACTTCTTTGTGACCTCTGGCCTCAAAACTATGCACAAGAAAGAAAGAGAGAGAGAGAGAGAGAGAGAGAGAGAGAGAGAGAGAGAGAGAATACAACACAGAGACAATAGCAAAAATCATAAGCCATGAAAATTCTAGAAATATATGCGTCAAATAAATGAATGAGAAGGGAAAGCTTGCTTTATCGAAGTTCCTATGGTAGATAAATAAATATGGAAAGATTATCACTGAAGGCTGCCAGAGCAAAGACTGAGTCAGAAAAGAATCACCAGATGCTCTACGGACAACGCTGTGCACTCTATGGACAAATCCGAAAAGGAAAGCAGAGACTTTCCATCTTCTCCCCACATACTTACTACTGGCTACAAGGAGAGAAAGAGCTGTGAAGCAGTGAAGAAACCCAACAGTGCTCGCACTGGCTAATCCAAATCCGCACCAACAAAGCGGGATAAGTGGATATTTCTGACCTCTAGATGTGCCACCTTGAAAAGAGCACTTCTGCACTATTCTAGTTGTCTACAGGTAGACAATCTCATTGCGAAAACACATTAAACAAACTCAAGATGAACAAATTCTACTTCTAAATTGGACTATATTTTTCAAAATATTAGCAATGTAAAAATTTTTTAAAATCTAAAAATGTTCTATATCAGAGCTACAGTACTGAAAACAGCCTGGTATTGGCATAAAAACAGACAAGATGACCAATGGTATCGAATAGAAGAATCGGATATTAATCCACACACCTATGAACACCTGATTTTTGAAAATTAAGTAAAAAATATCAAATGGGAAAAAGAAAGCATATTTAACAAGTGGTGCTGGCATAACTGGATTTCAACATGTAGAAAAATGAAAATAGACCCATATCTATCACCATGCACAAAACTCAAGTCCAAATGGATCAAAGACCTCAACATAAAGCCATCCACAATGAACCTTATAGAAGAGATAGTGGGAAGTATTGGCACAAACGACTACTTCTTAATATAACCCCAGTAGCACAGACACTGGGAAACAATTAATACTTGTGACCTCCTAAAACTTAGAAGCTTCTGTAAAGCAACCAGACCAAACGGAAGCCTACAGAATGGGAAAAGATCTTCACCAACCCCACATCAGACAGAGGTCTGATCTCCAAAATATACAAAGACCTCAAGATATTGGTCATCAAAAGAAAAAATAATCAATAAAAATGGAGTACAGACCTAAACAGAGAACTCTCAACAGAGGAATCTAAAATAGATGAAAGACACTTAAGGAAATGCTCAACATCTTTAGTCTTTAGAGAAATGCAAATCAAAACAACACTGAGATTCCATCTTACACCTGTCAGGATGGCCAGGATCAAAAACACTGATGACAACTTATGCTGGAGACATTGTGGAAAAAGGGAACACTTCTGCATTGCTGGTGGGAATGCAAGCTGGTACAGCTCCTTTGGATGTCAGTGTGGCGATTTCTCATAAAATTAGGAAACAACCTTCCTCAAGACCCAGTAATACCACTTTTGGGTATATACCCAAAGGATGCTCAGTCGTACTGACGGAATTAGATAATATAAAGGCCTTGTACTGTCATTGAATGTAGTGATTCTGATAACTACAATTCTGTAAAACAGTATTCTTACTATAAGAAAAGAATAAAGCATTTAGTAGAAAATAACCATCCCTATGGCATGTGGTATCTAAAGATCAATGGGCATTGTTTCCTTGGAAAAATATCTTATAGCCTGAAAGCACTTTGTATTGAAAATGTTTGAAGGATGAACATGAAAGTAGAGAAAGACTCTGACCCTGTCACACTCGACACATCAGTGCTTTGTCCCAGTGGAAGAAATGAAGGCTTGGATGCTAGCAGAGCTTTCCTTTGTTCCAAGCCAAGGAACTCGTCTCCTTTATTCTCCCCAGGATGGAAACTGGCATGCTGAAAGCCTGGCCTTCTAACACTCATGAATAAGGGCCTCCATCACAAGGAAAGAACTGTTTCAACTGACCTCTTGAAAGTCTTGCTCAAAATTCCACAGTTGCAGATACTGCTCCATTTTTAGCTGATGTTTCTCCCAAAATCCATCAAAAGCAGTTTCCATATCGTGCACTTGAGTCAGTAACCTTAACAAACAAAAGGCAAAGAATTATTTAAAAATAACCATTTGTGGGCCAGGTATGCAGCTAAACCTGGTCAGCTCCTTAAGATTTTAAACACTTCCCACCAACATGATACACTGTTCTGCCATGGGCCCAAAGTAACAGGGTCAAGTGAGCAGAGATTGAAATCTCTGAAACTGTAAGCCAAAATAAATACTTTCTCCATAAAAACAATAAAGAGTTAGTGAATGAATGAATGAATGAATGAATGAATTATAGGCAAAGGCCAAGCCTAGTGGCACACACCTTTAATCTAATACTTAGGAAGCAACGGAATGCAGAGCTCTGGAAGTTTAAGTCCAGTCCAGTTTATATGGAATTTCAGGCCAGCCAGAGCTACATAGTGAGATCTTTTCTCAAAAAAAAATAATTATAGGCAAAAATAGTCTATGACATTATGACACTTGGCTCAGGCAGAGAAAAATCAATGTCTGGGGAACGTACTCTGCAAGCAAACTAATGTCTGCAGACCAACCCGAGAAGAAGTTCCCAGACTTCCAGAGGTCCAGAAATACTTTCATACCTAACAGCAACAAACAATGTAAAATTCCTAGTTTGAAAATATAAGTACATTTTCAAAGAAGGGAGCGCGTACTTATTAATAGTTTGCCAGTCACCGCTGATGTGCTGAGGACTTTCAAGACTTGAACTGACAGTTTCTCCAGTGTTAGGCACTTTCAGGTTCATGAGCAGAATTTTTCCTTCTTTGGTTACAGCTGTTAAGTCATTCTATATAAAGGAACAACAGGATATGTCAACCAGTTAGTAACCCAAGATGACGGATTTGAAGGGAATATACAGATAGAGAGGATGTATATAGCACAGGAGATACAAGCAATTCTAGCACAGCCTTTGCTTTCACAGTATTTCAGGACCACAGAATCTGCAAGTGTGAGGCTCTGTGGCCAGGGAGATGACTCAGTTGCTTAAAATGCTTACCTCTGAAGCACGAAGGCCTGAGTTCAATATCCAAAACACATATTTAAAAAAAAAAACAGGTGTGATGGTGTTCATTTAGAATATGTGTGCCAGGGAGGTAGATCTAAGCAGATCCCTGAGGCTCACTGGTCAGCCAACAGAGCCTACATAGTTCCAGGCTACTAAGAGACCCTGTCCCACAAACAAGGTAGGAAGCTGGGAAGATGGTTCAGTGGTTAAGAGCACTGACTACTCTTCCAAAGGACCTGGGTTCAACTCCTAGCACCCACATGGGGGTTCACAACTGTCTACAACTCTAGTTCCAGGGGATCTGACACACTCTTCTCGCCTCCATGGGCATTGCATAAGTATGGTGCACAGACAACAGGCAAGCAAACCATCCATATACATTATGAAACAAAATAACAAACAAAGGCAAAGTGGATGTCAAATGAGAAAGAATAACATCTTCCGGCCTCCACACACATGCACTGGCAAACACAGGGCATAAACACTCACGCAAATGTCAGCTTCAAAGAAGCTACTATCTTACAAACAGACTGGAGTCCCCAGCTGGCGAATTAGACATTACAGACAGAAGCACCAATCATGCTGTTTTGAGCTTCTTGCTACAGACAGTATTGGTTAGAAAGTTCTAACCAATCTTGTTCTATTCTGATAATATTTTTAATGTGCTCAGATCAAACCATATTAACACAATAACAACTACAATATCAGAAATCGTAAAGTTACAAAGCATATTTAATGCATATTCAGAAAAAATCACATACGTTTCTTAATAATCATTATTACCAATCACTTTGTGCCTTAAATCTTATTTTAGTTCACATGTGAGTTTAAGTAAGCACATGCTTGGGACATCTATAAACACAGATGTTCATCAGATATCTGAATGAGCCAAGATTTCCTTCGAAAGGTCCAAACAACTTACAAAGTTATGAGCAGATATTTGGCATAAAGAATAGGTAGTGTGGTAGAAAGGAAAAGATATGAGGCTCTAAGTTTAATTCCCAGCACCAAAAGAAATAATAAATAAATAAAAATCACACTAATATTAATAAACCACAAACTATGTGTTAAAAATCTATTGCATGTATACTACATAATTATCTCATTACATCATCCCTACAGCTGCACAAAAATTAGTCGTGCAAGCCAAGCCATGAGTGGTATCACATGCTTATACCTGGTGAAAGCATGAGAATCAGTAGTTCAAGGACACCTACAGCAGTGTGCTTAAAATTAGTCTAGGCTACAAGAAAGTCTGTCTCAAAGAACAACTACAAAATAATCATGAATCATCGTTAGCATCATCATCATCATCATCACCGTCGTCACCTTATTGCATACCGGGTTTTGCTTCTAGATTGTGATGCAAACATTTGGTTTCTCACATCTTCATTTAAACATTGCATCTGATATAGAACTTAAAACTGACAAGGAACCCAACATGCATTTTACGGGAGAGGGAGACAAATACTACACTCAGCTGTCTGATTTCCCTTGACCAAATTTTCCTGCATTTTGAGGAAAGTGCCTCTAAAAGTCAAACTGCCAGAACTGCTCCTCTTCTACTCCAGGCAGAACTGAGTAGAACAAAGTCAATTCCCCCCTGGGGAGGGGGGGGGATTGGAAAGATGTCTCAAGAGATGCACAAGCGTCTCTTGTGGAGGACCCAGGTTCAGCTCTTAGCACCCACATGGTAGCAGGCAATCACCTAAACTCCAGTTTCAGAGGATCCGATGCCTTCTATAGGCACTAGGCACACATGTGGGGTACTCACATACATAGAAGCAACATACCGAAACATATAAAGTCAAAAGAAAAGAAAAAATATTTTGAATGTACCTTCCCTCTTCCCTATGTAAAATGAACACATTAAACTCCTTCCTGGAACAATAAATACCACGTGGCAGGATGTGATGGTGCATACCTGTAACCCCAGAACTCAGGAGGTTGAGAGAAAAGGATTCCAAGATTGAGGTCACCTTGCGCTAAATAGTGATTTCCAGGTCACCCTGGGCTACATAGTGAGAACCTAGCTCACAAACCACCAAGGACATAGGATTGCAATTTAGTGACAGCTTTTGCCTAACACTCAGGAGGCCCTGGATTCCATTCTTAATTCAACACAAAAAGACTTCAAGGAGCAGGATGATAGGGTAAAATCTGTGTGTTCTAAACAGACATACCTTCAACATCTGATACCTCTCAGCACGAACTGCCAGAATCTCCTGTATTGCAGGAATATCATCTGGTAGCTCTGTCTCAGCAAGCTCTGTTCCAAAGGATTGCAACATCTGAGCCACTTCCTTCACTGTAAGAGCGAACTTTTCTATAGCCTGTAAAAAGCCAGAGGATCTTTGATGGAAACTCTTAACATATCAAAATTTGATCAGTAATGTGTATTGCTCTATATATGGGAATAGACAACAGACATGTATGCTACAAACTTTACTAGGAAACATTGGCACTACCCCTGACAATTAATGCTGCTAACTCTGCATCTAAACCCCCAAGAGACTAAAAAGCAGACTTGAAATCCTTGAATGTGTATTTCTACATATCTGGACTCAGTCACAGAAACTCTTTCTAAAAGATGCCATGTGCTGAGTACTTTGCTGTATGGCCTTGAACATCAGTGTCTTTCTTCCCTTAGCAAACTCAGCACTTAACAAAACTGCTTTCTAATAAGTTCACTTCTAAAGAGACATAAGACCAGCAATGTCAATCGACATTTATTAGTGTTTGTGATCAGCACGCCACAAAACATGATGATCTAAGGAGCCGGAGAGCAAGTGGTCACAATAGTTCATTGCAGGTACTGCCAAAGATCTGAAGTTGTTATTCCAAAGGTGCTGTTGCCCTAAAATGGCAAAGAAGGCTACACTATTTTGTTTCCAAAATCAGTGCCTCACGGGAACACAGAGGCAATGCAGACACAATATAAACCACCTGTTTGGCAGGTATCTCCAAGAGATTTGCTCTTTCATTTAAGGCAAGGCACTGCTCACTCTTAATGGTTCAACTTCACGTGAACACCTGAATTGCTGAATGAACCTACCAAACACACGGTTTGAATGAAGACTAGGAAATGTGACCCTGGTTTAGTGGTTATCATTATTTTCTTCAGAAGAGTTCTCATATCGTGAGATTGTAAGTCAAGACACTTAAATCACAGGCTTTATTCTATGTGGGAGGCCACAGCCCTTACCTCTGACAAATCTAATAACTTTGGGAGTGCCACTAGGCTGCAATGAATATACTTGCACTTTCTGAGGATCTCCATATACCAAGCAGCGAGTCATTTTGTATTCATTATCTCCCAAGATCCCTATTAGGTAACATATTATCAATCTCATTTTGTAGATAGAAAAAAGACTTGGAGAGGTGATATATATTGTCCAAGATCTAAGTGCTAGGATTTGAACCCAAAGCCTTTGTTTCTTTTTTTCTACATGATCACAGGAAGGGGTAGGCAGAGATTCCTCTGCTTTTTCCCTAGGTCTCTCCTTCAGTTGCCATCCTTAGTGACTCTTCATCATTTCTAGAAATATCTTTGAGAAGAAAACCAAAAATGTTGAATGATATATGTATTTGAAAAGTAGGAGACCCAATATTGCTTTTCCCAAGTAGGAAAATTTCTAGATAGAATGAAGGATAGGCTCTACAGTAAGGGCAGAAGCAACATACATTTCTGAAGATGATCCATTCACTGTGGCAGTACTGCAAGGTGCCGCCTAACTCAGGGGTTAATTGCTTGTCATCAATGTATGTCAGCAAATCACTAACTGAGCTCAGCATAACAACCTATGTAAATAAGCAAGAAAGACACTGTTAACTGCCCTTCATGACAGCCCTCCATCAGACTGCAAAAGGAATTTCAGTAAACTTAGCAGAGAATCATCCAGTTTAAAAACTTCAAACAGTTCTTTCCTGTGCATGCCCCTCCCCTGGATGCATTAACCATCTTCAGATAACAACAGTTTTTATTTACAGAACATTTCTATCAACCAATATTAGCTTCTACAGAAACCCAAACACCCTAATTCTTCTTTGTCTAAAAGGTTTCATTATTAATGAGCAATCTTGAACACACATATACATGCAAATGTGTGCACATGCGCACATGCACACACACACACACACACACACACACACACACACACAGAATTTCTGTGCTCAGAACACAGCAGAAGGACTTTACGTAGTAAGTTACGATTCAGGTATCAAATTTTATGAGCACTCTATTTAAAACAATAAAAACTAGCAAAGACTTATTTTCAAAATAAAAACCATGGTACTCTGGGCTAGCTAATGATCATGGTATTTCAGATATATAAACCATATAATGTTCACAGAAAATAAAAATTCCTAAGTGTACACACAGATATATACATACATCTATAACATATAACACATATTTTTCAAAAGGCATTGCCTTGTTATAAGTTGCCTGAACTAGTCCTTTTTAACAGTAGAAGCAGATGGCTGAAAGACATTTCAGAATTGAATTTTTGAGAGACAAATTTTACTTTAAGTGTTACATGGACACATGCAAAACAAACAGTATAAGATACAGAACACATAAGCATTAGGAGGACCAGAGAGTCAAGCAATAATCTTACTGGTAGTTTCACCATAAAATCCTCCTGGCTAAATCGAAATCCAATGTCCGTGAAAGTCCTCTGAAGAAAACTGGTAGGGCGTAAAACCAGGACTAAGTGTAAGCTCCCGGGGAAAGAGGCCTATAGCAAGAAAGAACAAAAGAGTGAGCTGGGACACAATTGACACAACAAACTCCCAACTGAGCACAAATCAGAAGACATGTCATTGGAGGAAGCAAACTTCAAAGTTACAGAAGTCAATAAAAGGCCAACCTGTTTAAGTGACTGATGATAATATCTGAAAACATGGAAATAGACATAAGAATGACATAGGGCTATTGGGCTATCCTTATAATGTTGCCAGTGTGGAATTTTCTAACAGGACACAAGCAGATCCTAACCTGCAAAGAATTAGGCTCTAAAGCTGTATCTTGAAATTAGTTTACTGTTTCTGATGTTTTCTTTCTTTTTAATTGATATATTAATATTAGGCTTATTCTTGTCAGAAACGACTATAATTTGATACATACATATAATATGTGATGATCACATCATTAATTAGCATATCGTTCACGCCAAACATTAGCATTTCTGTATCAGGAACTTTCAAACTCTTATAGTTATCTCATAATTACAGAGTGAAATTAACCCTGCCTCATAGGACACCAGAACTACTTCCTCCTCTTTAACTGTGCACCTAATATCCAGCCTCATTATATGTCTCTTTGTCTCTCCCTTCCCCTCCCTATACAAAGAGACTCCTAGTCTATGTTCCATTTCCAAGTGATCAGCTTTTGTAGCTTCTACCAATGAGGGAAAATATGAAACTGGCTGTTTTTCTGTTCCTGGCTCATTTTACTCAATAACATTTCCATCTCCAGTTCCATCCATGTTATCAAAAACAATGGATGCTATGTCATAGTTTTACAGCATGTATACATTTTTAAAGATTTATTTATTATGCATACAGTAGTCTGCCTACATGTATGCCTGCATGCCAGAAGAAGACACCAGATCTCAATATAGGTGATTGTAAGCCACCATGTGGGTGCTGGGAATTGAACTCAGGACCTCTGGAAGAGCAGCCAGTGCTCTCAACCTCTCAGCCATCTCTCCAGCCCCCAACAGTTTATCTTTTAATCCATGCATGGATATGTTGCATGGTTCCACACACTGCCTATTATTGATAATGTTGCAATCAACATGGATATGCAGGTATTCCTTTACGATACTCATTTTAATTTCTTTGGACATCAGTGAGATTGTTGGATTATATGCTAATTGCATTCCCAATTTTTGTGAAGAAACTGTTCTCCAATAATGATACTGATTCTCATTCCTATCATGTGCAAGGCAGCTCTCCTGTCTTCATCTTTGTCAGCATGCTACTTTTGGTCTTTTGCATGTTAGCCATTCTAGCCTTATTGTGATTTGTGATGCTCATCATGTGTATACACCTGTTTGATATTTGTAGAACTTCTTTTAAGAAATGTTATTCATACCATTTACCAATTTTTAATTAGACAGGGTTTTTGAGGAGTTTTTTGTTTTGTTTGGCTATTGAGGTTTTTTTTTTAAATACTCTAGGTATTAACCCTTTAATGAACAAACAGTTTAAAAATATTATTTCTGTTCTGTAGACTATCCCTGCATTGTGTTTATTGTTTCTTTTTTATACAGAAGTTCTTTTCATTAATTTAATCCTGTTTGCCTATTTATCTTATGCTTTGGGGCCCATATTTATAAATACAGCACACATCTGAAGAACCCACTTTCGTTAAAGTAAAATAAGAAAGGAAGGACTCGAACCCCCTAAAACTATATATATATACATATATATTTCAGTGATACCATTTAAGAATGCTTCCTATATTTTTTGCGAGTGTTAATAGTTTCATAGTTTTGAGATTTTGTATTTAGGTGTTTGATCCAATTTGATTTATTTTTTAATGTTGAAAGATAGGAAGCTAGTTTTGTTCATATATGTACATCTCCACTACCATTTATTATATATGCCCTTGGTTCTTTTTGATGAAAACTGGTTGAAAATAAATTTCTGGGTTCTGTTCCACTCCATTGGTTTATGTTCCTGCCTTTATGTCACAAAATTGCTGAATTTGAAGTCAAATTGTATTTATTTCCTGTAAAAATGAAAACAGATAATGGAGCAGCCAAATGGCTCAGTAGGTAAAGGCATTTGCTATGCAAGCCTGGTGACCTGAGTTCCATCCCCAGAACCCACACGAAGTTGGAAGGAGAGAACTGACTCCACAGAGTTGCCAGTGCCTCACATACAAACACATATTATGCACATACACACCATAATAATAATAAATTTTATAAGAAAATTTAAAAACAGAATAAGGAGGCAAGTCCTTGGGATAACCGAAAAAAAACCAAAGGGAGCTAAAATATTATCTATCTATACTAAACAACTGATGAAAACTGTATCATAAAATCACGTTCTTGTTTTTATCCAAGGAAGTCTTATTTTCATTGCTATGTGAACACTCCATGCATTTAAATGAAAGATTATCAAGCACATACAGGCATTGAGAATACACAAATTAATTAAATGCTGTCCCTTCCAAGAAAATGACAGTTTAATAACTGAGTTTATTAGTAATCAACACAGCATGGTAAGCCAAAAAATAAAAGAATTAGAATAATATACACAGGAAACAATATCACGAAAGTTATGAAACATGAGAGGACCAAATAGCCTTTAAGAAAAAAGAGAAATTCCAAAGAGCAGTCAGGGTTCCCTGCCCTGTGATAAGTCCTAGGTCCTCCCCTCTCCATCCATTTCTAGGAAGGTGAACATCCAAACTTGCTAGGCTCCCACAAAGCCAATGGGGAGAGGAGTGGGGGGAGGGGGAGAAGGGTGGGAGGAGGGGGAGAAGGGTGGGAGGAGGGGGAGGGAAATGGGAGGCTGGGAGGAGGTGGAAACTTGTTTTTTTTTCTCCTTTTCTCAATAAAAAATTGGGAAAAAAAAAGAAAAAAGAGAAATTAATTGAATCAAAATGCCATCCAAATTTTTTCAGTATTTCCCCAGCTTCTAGAAAAAAAAAGTCTGGCACATAGTAGGGCAGTTCTAGCTTTTAGTTCTGTAGCTGTGATAAGTATTCGGACTAAAAGTGATGTGGGGTTAGAGTTCAGTTTATAACGCCAGGTTATACAGTCCATCATGTGGAGAACTCAAAGCCAAAAGAATATGCGGGAACTGCTCACATTCACAGTCAAGGACAGAGAGGAAATGGATGCACCTAAGGGCTTGGTACTCAGCTCACCTTCTCCTCTCTTAAACAGTTCAGAATCAGCTGCCAAGGGGATAGTGGTGTCTAAAGTGAGCATGGTTTTCCCCCATTGATGATCAAAACAGTCTTCCATACGTCAACAGGATCTTTATAATTCCTCATTGAGACCCTCTTCCCAGAGGATTACAGATTGTGTCAAATTGACAAGGCCAACTGTAATCTCTTGGTCTGGTCTGTCACCTGGGTACCCTGTCCCTTTAAAAGACAAGCCCCGCCCACTTCCACCAAAGCAAATACCTCCCCCCCCTCTTTCTCTCTCTCCTTCTAGAGAGGTAGCTTCAGACTCTCTCTCTTCTCCTTCTCCTTCTCCCCTTCTCTCCCTTTTTCCCTCCATATAAAATAAACTTTATAGTTCAGCTCTCTTCATGGCATATCTATCTGTTTCTCTTCCACTAAGGCCTCAGGCCACCAGCCATGAGACCCACCAAGGACTTGGGTGACCCCTGCTGCCCCTTGTGGGACCGGTACCCCATCATCTCTTCATAAATAATAACACCAACCATCACAGCAGTGAAAAATACTTGCTACGGAAAGAAATTCCAAAACAAAAGAACAGGGACTACAATGCAAGATTGGCTATAAAAAGAAACAGCATGGCCCAATATTATATCACCACATAGTAAATGTGTACTCTATGTCAAATATTTAGCCAGTCCTTATAGGTCTACTTTACCATAGTTCAGTGAATGAGTTAAGTTGCCCTTTTTACAAATAAGGTGAAGCTCAGAGTATGCTTAAGCATAACCTATGAAGCCTAGTCTTATACTAAGCCTTGTCTTATACTGACCTTAGTCATTGAACTACCCCACCTCTTGAAGATGCCCTATCAAGAAAGGTAGAGGAAAAGGACTACGAAGGGACAAGATGTTGGAGAGGCAGACAAGAACCATAACAGGAGCTAGTCTGATGATTTCCCCCTTAGAAGTTAAGAAAATCAATCTTTTGAGTACTAGAGCACCATGGTCAGACACATATTTTATTTTATTTTAAAATTTGATGTGGTTCTAGGAATTAAACCCAACGCTAAATACAAGTGCCCTACCATGGCACTACAATCCTAGCCACGTCCTCTTATGTCTCATGAGCCTTGAGAAAGAACTGAATTCAGATACAAGGAGAACCAGATTTGCGGCGACCTTGTAGAAAGATACAGTAATCCAACAGTCAGATCCTCAACCAGAGCAAAAGTAGCAAGAGTCATGGCAAAATCCAGGAAGTAGCATCATTAAATCATAATGATTAAGCGTACTTGATGAGATAGAGGGACTCAGTGAAATCCGTTCCAAGGTTTGAGATTTGAGTAACCCAGATGGGAACAAAAAAATAAGCATGCTTTATGAAGGAAAGCAAAATTCTGTTTTTTTTTTTTTTCTATAGATGCTGTGTTTGGAAGAGCCAGCAAGACATTCTCATGATTTCTATAAGACAGTTCTCTGCATCTGCTTCCATCAGTTACTAAATGAAGGTTCTAGGGTGACAACTAGGGTAGTCACCAATCTGATCTCAGGAGAAGGCCAGTCAGATACTCTCTCCATTATTGCTAGGCATTTTAGAAGGCCTTTCTCAGCCTTGATGCAGGGGGGAGGGGATTGGTCCTGCTCAACTTAACAACTTGCCAGGCTTTGTTGACTCCCTGTGGGAGGCCTTACCTTTTCTGAGGAGTGGATGGGGGTGGAGTAGGAGGAGGAGTGGAAGGGAGAGAGGGAGGAGGGGAGGAAGAGGGAAATGTGGTTGGTATGTAAAATGAATAAAAAAAATTTAATAAAAAAAAAGATAGCTCTCCGTAGGGAAGGAGAGAGAAAAGGTCTCATTTGGGAGTGCAGT